TACCCAAAACAACCTTGCTCCAGGAGCCAGCCTGGCAGACTGGGACCTTGCCACTCGGCAGCGAGATGCTAGCTTATGAGTCTTCAAAATAGCTGGAGGCTGACAAGGTAGCAGCCCGCAGGAATCGGGCGAGTTTGTTTTAAGAGCCCTGGTCTAAAGTGGATCGGTACACAAACATCATAGCGAGTGTAATACACCTCATCGGAGACAAAGGTTAGAAAAAGAGGGGCTGAGGCTCTCAGAAGGCAGAATGCAGGGGAAAATTCGCCAGGGAAATCAGGAAAAAGGCCATGAAAGCCATCACTGCCTGCACATGACCAGCCTCAGCCAATGACGAGCCCAAACAGGTCATAAAAAGGTCTATTACCAAGTTGTAAATTTTCTTCAAACAAAAAGGAATTTACTGCAATTCCTTGCGGATTTTGCACATACTGCTCACCAGCGCCATGTTTCTTTTGCCTGCTCTGTCTCTCTCTAGCCTCCTTTCCTTCCTTTCCTCTCTTTTCCGTGGCCTGGCAGAGCATCTGTGCCTTCTGACTGGGGCGTGTTGCACTCCCAGGCAGAGAAGTTATGGAAGAAAAGGCAAAAGAAACCCGAGTTTATCCGAAGCGTGTTTATTTCCACAAATTCACAAGCCTGGGTTCTCCCGTCTCTGGGGTCCTCCCACAGCCCCGCTGTTCTGGGACCAGCGCTATCGCTGGGTGAGCCTCTTGCCTATCTCTTACTTAAACGGCTCGGTTTTCATATGGAATTCATTCCGAATCCGTTTGGAATTGATTTACTTTGTATTTTCCCCCAACAAAAAGAAGCAGTTCTGCATTAGCGCCCACTACCGAACTCTAGCTCCCTGATAACTTACAAATAAACTCAGCGGCGGCGATTTCTTCCTAACTAGCCTCAAGTTTTTAACGCTCACAGGTTGCTCGGTGGCGTCTTGCATTCGAAGGTGGAAGCACACGCGTTGTTCAGCCTCTGCGTGTTTCCCCACTTGTATTCAGTTTGATTAACCCGCGTGTATTTGGAGAAAACTGGCGTAAGTCTGACTTTCAGCATCCAGAAAATACTTTGATTCCTTTAAAATGGGCACTGGACACATAAATGAAGACTGGGGCAAAACCGCCTGACATTCCTGGGTATTTCCTCCTCGTGTTTTGAGGTTAGGCATCGGCTACGAATCCCCTCTGATTAGCATTGTGGAAAATAAGAGTTAAAAACGTATTCTGACATATACCCCTCTCTTCTGTATTAGTCTCCATGAGTGAAGGACACATGAGCAAAGGGCCACGGGAATGATTTTCACACAAGCGCAATACACACAAGGTCCCTGCACCGAGGTACCAATGGCAGTCATATTTGGGATTCCACTCATTCGGCGCCCAGATGTTGAAAACTGATATTAAATTGCGCAAAGATGAAAGATGCCATTTTCATAAACGGCGCGTGGGCTTTATTTTAATTGGGGCTGCATCCACTCATTTTTCCTTCCAAATGTTGCCGCTCCCACTGTAAATTACAGGATTTTACGCGGCTGTTTGCTGTCAGTGTGAGCCATTTTGCGCCATCAATGTATTTACTAAGATACGACATTGTTATCCGAGAGCTAAGGGTCCAAAACGGCATTATGGCGTCACAAAGCCAGCCATAAAAGAGTTGAAAGACCCCTTGCACCGAGAACGTGCAAAATGGAAACATTCTGGGATCCTAGTACGGGCCCACTGCAAACAAATTGTATAGAGTGGAAGTTAGGTCCTCTTTTATCCTGCTAGTCTGCTTGCACACAAGGCTGGGAATGCATGCACACAAGCAATTTTGTAATAAAATATTTGTGTTTTGTTCTCTCTGCTTTGAAAAATAGATTTATTTTAGAATAAAATATTTCCCCTTCATTCAGATTGCTGAATATCGGTTGGGTAAATAGCCACTTTAAAAACAAGATTAAGCTTCATAGAGTGTATGTGAGTCATTTGTAGGCTAGCTCACACACTCGCGGCCTTTTAAAATGGCTTTCCTAGTAACAGGATTTTCCTGCATGCAATGTAGTCAGAGCCGCTTTGGTCCGCAGTAAAGATGTTTATGCTCTCCCCGATCAAAGGGTATCTTTGTACCGCTGATATAATTAAAAAAAATAAAATAGGGTTTTTTGTTTCCGAATATCAGGTCGCCTTTAAATCTGTATCACCAATCACACAGCTATTGCGGACACTAGGGGGGTACTGGTGTATTTATGCAAATTCTTGCAGCAAAATGTTTGCTTCATGGGTTTTCTGCAGTGTCCACACATTACCGAGTTTTAGGCTCGCAGGAAATGAAACTTTTCAGGTGTATAAAATAGACCAGAACAAGAGCTGTGCTTGAATGCTCTTCCCGCGATACTGCTTGCTTTAGCTGAGGTAAAATCTGGAGTATACAGTAGGTTTGAGTTAACGACACCAGCTAACCTGAATTTTATAAAATCATTGCCCTGTGCCAGATTTAGGCCAATTCTCACACATATTTAGACCGGCTCGAAGTCGGGGAAACTCCACCGAGTTCAATGGAAGTCCTATGGATTTTCAGCGGATAGTTGAATGTCTTCTACTGATACATAGTTCTCACTGCGAGCTGATCCCGCACTACTGAATTGAAAGAAGCAGGGTCTGACCCAGTAATTTTGTTTTAGTAAACAGGGCTGCACATAGATTTTGTGCAGACGTGCGGGGCAATTTCTCAAGCCCACACCCCTCCCCAGTAGACATTACAGGCAACTGGCATTTACACATTGTTAAGGTTGGTGTCCTCAGCAAAATTTAACTTTCTGCTTCCGTGAGGACAAGTTTGTTTATCAAGCAGATAATTTAAGAGCGGGAAGCCATTTGTTGCACCACTGAGGACATTCCTGCGGTTTCTTTGCATGCAACATAATTCATGTGACGTGGGAGGGATTATGGGCAGGAGAAGACTCTAAACGGAATCTGGATGGAGACTATGAAATAGATATCTTCATCACAACGGGATCGTTTTCACCCGATCCTATCAGATCTTGCGAAATGTGATATTTATGTTGTCTTTCAGAAAAAGTAATTAGAGCACTATACTACAGCAGCAAATCACGCATTGCATGTCATATTTTTCTTACGAGATCTTTAGGACCTTCAGCCTTATTGGTGAGAGCCCTTTACATTGGCTGCTGTGCATATAAACCTTTTCCTTTGTACTGTTTAACATTTATGAATTTAAGGATTAAGGAGACTGCGTTATACCTGTACCCAAGAGTTTGTTTTCAAAAGGCCTTAAACGAAATGAGAGAAAAACAAAAATCAGTTATGTGCAGATAGCTTTGGTAGTGATTAAAAAAAGGCCTTTTCATTTGTTCGTGCTTGTTTCGCTCTGTAATAGTTTGGGCCGGAATCTGCAAACACTTATTTCTTACGTGAGTACCTTTTATTCATGCTTGCAAGCCAGTCAAGACAAGAGGGTACTCCTGTGTGAGTAAGGAATGTTCAAGTGAGTGAGGCTTAGCAGGAGAGAAGTCCTGTATTTGGCTGCGCTTTCCTTTAAAGATAAAATAAAATGGCACCTGTCCAGTATCGGCGTGAGGTTACTTGCCAGGGTCCGATGATGAGAATAGATGTATTATTAATTATTATTATTAATGCTGATAATGATAATAATGCATAATTTTTCAGGCACTCTGTGTTCTGTTTAGATTTGGTAACCTTTTACATCTAAGGCAACACTGAAATACTTGATGGATAATATTTTGGAAACGTGAATACTCTTAATTACAATTGGATTGAAATTTAGCAGTGTTTTATATATATATATAACTTCCACACACACACACAAATGCCCTGGCTAGTTACCAAGTGAAAACATGGAAATAAACTTTACTACCTTGCTGACAATTGAGGTCTTGTAGTATCGCGAAGACATATTATTGTGGAAATGCATACAGCGCATGCCTCATGAAAGCGATCTACTTTTGATTAAACGGCCAGGGAAGTGTGATTAACAACAGCTCATTCCCCTGTTTTGGGGTTTGATCCCAATATTCATTTGCTGTTTTCAAAACTAACCATATGAAGACGCGCTGCCGACCTGCACCTTTGGGAAAAAATGGAGATCAATAAAACTATTTTACAGGGCAAATACGGACAACACAAATAAATATGGCACCCCTTCCAATCTATATTGTAAAAGGGAGAAAATGGACAAGCACCATGCAATTTAGGAAAATTACAACAGCAGCTGAAAATAGGAGGGAAATTCCTGGTGAGACACACGATTTCTAGTAACTGTGAAACAGTAGCAGTGTTGGAAAGCTAATGAACGTGGACCCGATCCCACATTAACTAGGCTCCCCAGTGAATTCAAGAGACCACGGATAAAAGGAACGTAGGGACAGGCCTTCTGAACTGTATCTTTGGCCTTTCCAATATTCATTGAATAGACGATTTAATTTGCACAAAGTTCTTTCAGTCAAATTAACTATATAGCACGATATTCAAGGGCTGCTAACATTGCAGGCAGCGGCAGTGGCATTGACTCAGCAGAAACCCGATCAAGCCTGTCTTTTTACAAACCTTCACGGCTTTGTGGAAGTTTCCATAGATTTCAGGTCACCTGTTCTTTGTTACAACGAATGAAGGGGTTTTTTTCGGCGAATTTGTTCTCCTGAGAAACGGGGCTAAAACTCTCTCACAAATACCCCATATAGGGAGAAGCAATGGAGAGGAAAACGTAAGGTAATTACAGAGCTCCTGAAGGTTATCGAGCAAGTAGATTGCAAAAGGTAATCAAGAAAATTGATTAGTATTACATTTGAATAAAAATTTGTTTATTTTAATCAAGTATCAATAATGGAAGGTAAATATTTTAATAAGATAATTTCTTCAAAATTATTAGATTTCTTTTAACTTAACATAACAGGAAAAAAGTTTAAAATAGTACAAGTGCACTTGTTCTGATTAACAAAGCATTTTATATGTCTGGCTTATTGGTACTTATCATTAGGAAGTTTATGTTGTTGACAGTAATCACGCATCTTTTAAACGTTGAACATTGCAATTAAAATATATTGCTACAAATTCGGTATCCAATTTCCTTTTAAATAAGAGTACATGAGCTAGAGATTGGGCCTGATACAGTAAAAACAAACAAAAAACAACCACAGGGCACAGAAACTCCAAGCGTAGTGAATGAGACAAGAAAACTTGAAACACAGGTAAAGGCCTTTACAACAAAGAATCCCGGCCATGTTTCCCAGCATAAGTGGATCATTATTTTCAAGTCTTTTATTGATGGTAAAAGGTAAAATTTAATTAGTCTGGCCTTCGGCTCTGTCTTCTTCCACATCATGTGGTTCCTTTTTGGCCTCCCCTTCCTTTCCCTCCTGCCTGGAAGCGGGGAATTTGTCCTTGTTGTTTTCTTTTTTCCATTTCATCCTCCTGTTCTGAAACCAGATCTTTACCTGCCTCTCGGTGAGTCCTAGCGCGTGGGATACCTCAATCCTTCTCTTCCTTGTCAGATAAGGGTTAAACAGAAATTCCTTTTCCAGCTCTAGAGTCTGGAAACGGCTGTATGTTTGTCTTCCTCTCCTCCTACCAGGCGCTGCTGATTAAAACAAAAAACACAGTATTTTTCAAAACAAAGCGCTCATTGGCTTGGGCGCTTATCTAGGTGTCTGTTCGCCTAGCTAGAGCCATACAGCGGGGAGACTAGCGAGGTGCCTACAGACGAATGCAATAGATCTGTGGCTATTTAAGTATGCAGCTATGTACAAGTGAACAGAAAGAAATCGCGGCAGAGCATTGCCTTAAACTACCCTGCTTTTATTACACATCAGAACTCGCTGGCTTACTTCATCAGCGGGTCACCACACCCAGTGTGCACACGAAGCCCAGAGCTATGTTGGTAGGGGTGCACCGGGATTCTTGGGGTTCACGCCCCGCGCGGATGATCAGAGAGTTTAAGGCTACTCTGGTGTCTCCTGCGCCTACTGCGGAGACCTTTGCTTTCCGCGCGGGGCTAAGCTCTGCTCTTACGGCAGCGCGGCCCCAGCACGCCCGGAGCAGAGACAGGAAGAGGGAGAGAAGCAGGAGGAGGACAGGGAAGGGAAAGAAGCAGAGAACTCAGACGTGAGATGGAAGCAAATCGGCTTTTGCCTGCGTCCAACCTTGCGGTCTCATCCAGGGGAACATTGGAGCGGGAGACGAGCTCTGATTTAAGTGGTCTGGTTCCTCGCCAATATTAGCACTGGACGATTTACAGTCAGGATATTGGACCAGCTCGGCCTCTTGCTGGCTCGTAAAAAGCGGCTGTCTCTGTAAATTATCGTATCCGTAAAATTTCGCGGGCTCCCCGTGACAGGGAATCCCGCCGCAGGGGG